CCCTCCCGCGCTAGCCTAAGGGCCACCTTAGCAAAGCGCATCCCAGGCTGCATAGCCGCACTACCCTACCCAACCATACCACACATAAACATGACACTACCCCCGGGGTTTACACAGACGAGCCGGCGAAGCAAGAAGAGCGCCAGAAGAAAGGGCCCTAGCCGGCGGGGCCCAGCCAGGACAAAAGGAGGTCCCACAAAGCGCCTACACCGGCCGCATTTGCGGTCGGGGTAGACGACGGATGGGGCCCACCTACGAAGGCTGTCCAGGCCTACACGAGATGAGGCAGGATAAAGAGGGATAATCCCCCTCGATCCCAAATCATTGAGGCCAATTTCTAGCCATGGAATAATGGCGGCGGCGGATGCATGCATGGGACACCGGTCTTAGCTTATAAAGTCAGTCTGTTATTAGAGAGATATTGGAGCGACAACTTGCATTAGTGCATGCAGTATTTACACATACTTCTAGGCTGTATAGAAGTATGTGGGTATTTTGACATCTAAGCATGCGCAGTTGCATACAGCTGTCGCGCTGCCGTAATAACGATAACGCCTGGTATAATTTACGAATGTATAGCGTTATGCTTTCACACTATGCTTTACCGCAAGGATATTTATAATAGGTACATAAATATCCTTGGCTTTACCGTATCGCCAAAGTGCTTCGGGTAATGTTGGAAAAGCCGACGACGATTAGGCACATAGAATATGGTTAGACAAAACCAATCAAAGTCATCAAACAACTACCCTAGGATGTTCAATAACTCATATTTTCAAGACAAATTAACGCACAAATAACGCTGCGCTATTAACACCGTACGTGCGGTATGTGACGTACCAATATCTCTCTATTATTTTCACAGGTCTAGTTTGAATCGCAAAATATTTATGATTAGAAAGTTGAGGAAAAATCTAATCTGCAAATCAGCAAATCTCAAGGAAGAAACGAAGAAAATGTGGAAGTGAGAGAAAAGTATTTTTGGGAAAATTTTGGGGAATTTTGATATTTTACGTGGGAAGAACCCAAGGATATTTGTTATAAATATCCTTGGGAAGAACCGGACAGATTACATCAGATGACAGATATTAGCTGCTTTCCATTGCTGGGGAACTGCTCCTTTAGTAGTCTCCTTCTGTTCTACTCTTTAAGTTTAACTACTCCAAAAGGAAAGCAGCTTTAATGGTATTTTTAAGTTTTATACATAACCAAAAAAGAATTGTTTACATTTGATTTTGAACCATAATATATTTAGAAATAATAAATTATGAATAATATTATAAAACAGTTAGAAACTCTTTCGGAACAAGAACTTTATTCCAACATTGTTAAAGTTGTATGTATTCGTTTTAAATATAAGGAAAACCTCCATTAATTAATTAATTTTTAGTGCGATTTGGCTTTGACCATTGGAGAACAGAAACCTGACACTTTTACATTATTAATGAAATTCCAGATTACACTTTATTATGCTGATGCTTTATACAGTATTCAGCAATTCTTTCAAGCAGAAAATTTGTATCGGCAAGCACTACAGATGAGAAAAAACATACTTATTAAAAAAAATTCTAATAATAAAATAACGGAGAATCAGAATGAAGTAGCTAGTGATGTAGACATCAAATATAAAATACATTTGTGTTGTTTAGCACTGAAGCAAAAAAAAGCTGCTGGAGAAATTTTGCAAATGGTTTCTGCTCGTTTACGTACGCCAAAAGTAAACATGGCTTTAGGAAATATATTTAAAGACTTAGGAATGGAAAGATCTGCAATAGCGTGTTTTAAAGAAGTTCTCAGAGATTGTCCATTAGCCCTTGAAGCTGTGGAAAATTTACTGAAATTAGGAATAAAAGTAAGTCAATTATTAAATGAAATTACAATAATTTGATTATTCATAATTTTGTGTTATATTTCATATGAAATATTAAATTATAGGGCGTGGAAGTAAATTCGTTAATGGTAGAAGTGTCATCAGAAATAACATGGTTAAATTCTTGGATAAAAGCTCAGGCTCAATTACATTCTCGAGATTTTGCAAATGCAATTAAAACATACAAGAGCATGGATACACATGGTTTGTTAAAAGACAACACATCTCTTATAGTCAATATGGGCTATTGTTATCATTACATGTGCGAAGATCAGAGAGCTATATCAGTTTTACAAAAAGTAAGAGCAAATCACAATTCTATATATATATATATATATATATCTTAATGAGCAATAATAATAATGAGATTTTCTGACGATAAATAAAATGCAAAAAATTAGACGACTACTCAAGTTAAACAAAATTCCAGTTCAATGGGGATGCAGTCATAGAAAAAAAATATTACTCATTTTAGTTTTCAAGTTTTCAAAATTATAGTTGTTTTTCAACAGGAAAGTTAATTGAGAATTATATTTGGAAATTAACAACATGAGTGGTGTTATTACATGAGTAATAGATTATAGTTATAATCCTGTCTTCAAGAAATAAATTTACAATTTTTAGAATTTTTAAAAATGCTAGATAATACTTTTTAACAAATTTTAAACTATGATTTATGACCCACGTGATAATGACATCACTCATGTTGTTAATTTCGAATCCAATTCTCAGTGATAAATTCTCCTGATAAAAAAACAAATAAAATTTTGAAAGCTTGAAATCCAAAAAGTTTAAAACTTTTCCATGACTGCATCCCCGTCGAGCTAAAATTAATATATATGTAAATATGTATAACTTTTGAAATCTTACATAGGCATTTCGGATCGATCCTTTCCTCACGGCAGGCAAAGATCTGTTATCAACTCTTTTAGCAGCTTCTGGAACCAAAGATCATATTCGGACACTGGAAAGTTTAATACCTACAATGGATATGTCTTTATGGAGTAGTGAACACTGGGTTATTTTAGGAAACTATATGTTTGCTTTGAAGAAATATGACAAAGCTGCTTATTTCGGACAACAAGCCTGTGTGTTGGATCGAAGAAATATCGAGGCGCTTCTCTTGAAAGCAAATACTCTGGTCCAAATTAAAAAATATCAGGATGCTGCTAGTCATTGTACTGAGGCATTACAAATTTGCCCTTACAGGTACTGTATTTTCGCAAAAGGCTTTTTAATTAATCTAATGGGTTACAAAAAAGGAATGCTCATATTTCAAGAAAAATTGAATGGTGAAAATTACTGGTTGACATCTTCATTCCTTTAAGGAGAATCGGGTACTAGGAAAAAATGCAGCCAATTTCGTATTGAGATATTTTTGCAATGTGAAATCAAATTCTGTCAATTCTCAAATTATTTATCGATTTGAAATCATTTTTATTTACAGAGTACCATAACTTACAAGATGTAAAAAATACAGCAACATATAAACAATGAAATTTAACATTTTTAACATTTCAATAATTTCAGTATATTTTTTAGTATATTTTTGGCTGTATTAACATCGTATCACAGTATAATACTGCATACATGTATCGAATCGTATTATACTTTCCTAATTGCAATCACTTTAGCAATCCAGCAACATCTTAATTAGCTACCTGTTTTCTCCTCAGAAATATGAGAATTTTCCATTAGTGTTAAAACTGGTACACCCTATAGCAATATAGTCTTTTATCTTTTCAGATATGATCTGCACAAATGTTTGGTAGAATGTTACATACAGATGAATAAGTTGAGAGAAGCAGAATCTATGGCAATGAATGCATGTAAACAGTTAAATTTTAGTGCTCAAGGGTATTATGTAAGTTTCTATTTGTAACGGTATAAATTTAACATATAGAAATAGAAATATATATGTGTAAAGATGTTACGTGAGTTTTTAAAACGGAATTTCAAAATCGGCTAACAAATTACCGCCCAATTTTCTAAACACAATTTGGTTTTATAAACAAGTCTAATACAGGAAATGCTGTGCTCGATACATAAAACTTTTAGTGCCCTGGACGAGTCGGAAAGGTGAGCCAACTTTATTAATTGGTCAAGAAATTTGACATTGTATCGCATAATATATTGTTGAACAGGTAAAAACAATTTCGGTATTCAGGGTCCAGTTTTAAGTATTTTGCAAGATCATCTATCACACAAAATGCACAAAGCAAAAATAGATGATTGTCTAAGTGAACACAAGGGAATAGTTGTGTGTACCGCAAGAAACTGTTTAGGTCCAAGACTACTCCTTGTGTACGTTAACATCAGTTGTATAAAAAATTTTAAATACCTTACTTTCACAATAATATTTAAAACAATCTATTGTAAATACTAGTTTCTGCGACGTAATTAATTAGGGATGAAAATCACTGAAATCAGACGTATTTTATTTTCAGCTACATGCTTTAGTGTTATTAAAGGACCCCATGGCGTCGAGTAAAACAGTCCGAAGGACCTTAGAAAAAGCCGTATCACAAGACAAGACTGGTTCCACAAACGCTCTATGCATGCTAGTCGAATTCTTGGAACAGGAGCAACAGTACGAGCAAGCCTCTCAGCTGTTATTGAAACATATAGAAACGCAGAAACCTTATTCGAGACTGCATCAATTGTTGGGTGATTGCTTTGTTAATTTACAAAAAGACGATGAGGCTTTTCACCATTACACAATAGCCCTGAAACTTGATCCTACAAATCAGAGAGCCACAGAGGGATTAAATAACATAGGAAGAAGTTTGTCATTGAGTAAACGTGATAGTTATTATACTTGTGTTGCCGGAGAGACTTATGCATCACAAGGTACGAATTCTTCTGATCACGAAGTTGACCCAGAAAGTGATACGGATCCTTGGCCAGCTGGTGGAGATTTAGGGAACTTTGAATAAGTATTATATTTTTTTAATTATGTCTATAGTAATCTATTTTATATGATTTAACTAATACTTGTATCAATTAAATTTTTTATATTTTCTTCCAATTTCTGAATTGTTTCAGTATTATATTAATGTATGTCTTATAAAATGGAAAATGTGTTGCGTTTAGGTAAGTGATTAAATTAAAAATGATAATCATAAAAATATCCTTTATATTCCACTCTCTAAATCCATTATATTATCCAACATTCAAGGCACTGGACTGTTCCTACATTTTTTTGTATCTAAAATATGCATTCCAGGATATATAACATCATTTTTTTTCATTTTGCATCATTCATTTGTTTCTTAATGCCGATCTTGCCTTTACTGCTTCTATCAGCTGTTAAAAACTTGATTTTAAAATCAGTCGCCAAGCAACATGAATGTACAGACCTATAGATTGTAACATCATGGTCACACATCAAACCCAGTGAGGTATTTTCCTAAGGGCATAGGGGAAGATAACCCGGTGCAGCCCCATTATGGCCCTTCGGCCACCCTTCTGGATTTTTGCTGACATTTTACATTTACTAACAGGTACTGGGGCGGCCGATCATATTCGTCCAGGGCACATAATTTAGAAATACGTCTCTGGTCAAACCACAATTCAATGTACACAGAGTGTTGCTCTGTATTTTGCACCCCATATGTAGTTGTTATTTTTAGGTTTAGTACCATAGTTTCGGGTAACTTGGAATCGCTGGGTATCATGTGACTGCCCTGCACCATTCAAAATGCAATCCTACCGTTTTTTAGCGGTGAGAAAGAAAAATAAATTAAAAAAGTTTTATAAGATATTTTACGTGCCACTAACAACATTGTAAAAATGTAAAAAAATTAAGTAATTTGACACGTTCACAATTTTGGTTATGCTTAGAAACCTACTATGTGGCATACCAATTTGGAATATTTTTTAAAGATGTTTATGATATCCTGCATAATCTGTTTTTTTAATTTGTGATGTTTTGTTCTACAGGGTGTATTTAAATGGAGGGGCATAAATGATACCAGAGATTCCTTCAGTCAATTTAACCTAACATACCTATATCCCAAGTCGCATAATAAAAAAGATACAGGGTGTCAAAGTGAAAAATAAAAAATGGTTTTTCCTTAATAATTTCTATAATTTTAGTCAGAAATGTTTCAAATTTTCAGCAGAGAGGTTTTTTAATCATGGGAAAAATAATATAATAATGATTTTTGAGTGTCGAGTACGAGGCGCCCTCTGCAGGCAACGTTTTGCATTGTATATGTAGTAACTTTTTTGCCAACCCCCGTATACCGCTTTTAGTAACAAAATATGAAATATTGGACTTTTTTGAACAAAGAAGATATACTTATTGAAAATGGCTAAAGCCAACCGTTCAGGAGATATTTTTAATTTCATAAATTATTGTTACGGATTTATATCTCCACGAATACCAAAGTATAAACAGACACTTTTGTTAATAAATTCAGAACCCATTGCCTCACAGTAATTATTAGTTGTGGATCTATTTTAAAATTCAACCAAAAGGGCGCGCAGGAATCCACTGAGACATTATTTTTCCTGTTTTAAATTTACTTTGAAAGAACTTACTTGAAAAAACCACGAATTCGCAGATATGCATTGCACACGCATAACAATGTACGTTCGAGGAAATGCCCCAAATGCCCCTTCGCCAAGACACCGAGGAAGAATAAACGGACCAATAAGATAATCTTCTACGATTCCTACATTTAAACTAAAATTATGTTGAAATTTCCATGTACAAACTTGGTGAGGATTTTCGTCAGACCATGAGTGATCATTGTGATGGTTCACTAAACCATGTCTTTGAAATGACGCTTCATCACATCACCAAACAAAATACTGGATAAAATATTTCTGTTTCCCTTGAAATGTTCATATACCATTAACAAAAATCTATCCTGTTAGGTAAATCCGCAGCAGTCAATTCCTGCACAGGTTGTAGATGGTAGGGGTATAAAAGATTATCATTTGCAATTTTCCAAATCGTAGTATGTGAAACGCTATAGTATGTCGCCAATTTTCTGGTACTAGTTTCTGAATTCTGATCTTGTAAATTACCAAGGACAACTTCTTCAAGTTCTACATTGCGAATAAGACGTCTTCTGCCAGTACCTTCAGGACAAGGTTGAATGTGTCCGTTTCCTCGAAATCTTTCTACCGCCGCAAAAGTTTTTCTAGCAGGAACACGACGATTGGGATATCTGGTTATCTGGAATGATAAAGTCATACAGCAGCAGCACAGTTCTTGTAACATTTAAAAAATACTTGCAACATAACGACATACTTGTCATTAGTATACATAATTTGTTGTTTTGTTCAATTCCAAAACTATTTAATATCTAGGATGCAGGTAAATAGTGACTAAAATCAATTAACACAAGAATATATTTTTTTCCCTAGCCTTTTGAATGAGCGAAACAAACCAAATAAATTTTTGACTAAGTTACCCTCACACAAAATCTAAGAGGATATGTTCAGATTCATAATATTGTTAATTAGGTATCAGTAGCCTTGTCACATATGAACTAAATGTTTATTTTTTATGAAAATCTATTAAAAACATTTTTTCTATTTTAAAACAATATTTCTAGCATCCTAAGACACCTTACATCGACCATGACAAGATAATAAATTTTAGCCCATTCCAAGTATGCGTGTGACGAGGATATATTTTCTTATTTCCATTGAATATTCTTGAACTCGTTCATAGTGTAATTTAAAAACTTTTTGATTTTTACTTATAACTGCAAAAAGATAGTACAGTATAGACTCTTTAATCCGAACTCATCCTAATCCGAATATCCACTGATCCGGCCTGACGATTCGACGAATGCCCGTTTCGATGGTCCGAACAAAACTCTTTAATTCAAACAAAATTCGGTTTAACATATATAGTTCGGATTATAAAGTCAGACTACATAATAAAAAGTAACTGCTAAAAACGTAATTCCCCGGCAGTCTCAGGGAAATCCTTTTATGCGAATCGGAGCCTTTCTTGATTAGATCCTTTTAGTTGAATTATTGCCATGCAAACATGGCGATATTTATACGACATATTTTACGATAATGTTTGGTTTAATTGTTATTTTTTGTCTTCTCAGTAACACATAAAATCAAATTCATATTATATGTATGGACATAAACATATTTACATATGTATATATTTACTATCCAGTAATCCAAAAATATCGGTAATTCGAACTTATCTCTTTAAGCCCGTGTTTTTTTAGTTCGGATTAAAGAGTCTATACCAGGGGTCGGTAACCTATGACCCGTGGGTCACCGAGTGACCCATTTACTAATTTCAAGTGACCCACTCTATTTCCTAAAAAAGTATAATATATAAAAATAAATTATAAAATAAACATGAAACGAATATTTTGAGAAAAAAAAAAATTGAAAATAGATGCTTTGTTTTTGCGCGCACGTCAATCTTGAATCTTTGCTTTTTGTTTGTTCCTGGCAATATATTTTTTTAAATAATAATAATTATTTCACTTAGGTAACTGCTAAATGTTTCTTTTTATAATAATTAGAATTTTATTAGTTTTTATAATAATAATTAAAGTTTAAAATAAAATGTATCTTATTATTCACTAAAAGACTGTTTTAAAATATCACTGACCCAAACGTCCATTTAATATTCACACTGTGGTTGATTTTAACCCGCAGCCAAAAAAGGTTGCCGACCCCTGGTCTATACTGTACTTAAGTCACCCAAAATTACAGCTTGAATTTTCCTAAAGTACCAGAATTTTGTTGGACAAATGGACATTGTAAATAATGTCAAAGTAAACTGACTTTTAATGAAGCATCTGTATACATTTAGATCTATTTTTTCATAAGATTACAGTGATATATGATTTGATAGGTTTAACGTTTTTTTTTTAATTTTTGTTTTAATATGTTATTATAATTTTCTTTTAATGATATTATATTTTCCTTCTCCAAAATCTTGACTAAAGCAAAATTTTTGTTGTAATCTTTGTACTCGTCTATTTTAACATTTATAGGTCGAGAGTTCTCCCCAATATTGCATTAACAAGGTATGCCTATTTGGGCATGTATTTGATAAAAGTCTGTAAAGTACATATTCTGAAAAACTGTTGTTATTAAAGGACCCCACACAAAATGAATGGAAGTTGGGTCCTGCTAGATTTGGCTGGAATTGTGATATGTTATAGTTCTCGACATTCTGATCAAAAGTCACGGGCCCAAAGTAATCCTATGGATAGTTTCAGAGATATAGAGAGGGACGTCTCTTCCTAAACCAAGGCGTCCATCATATGCCCAGGCAAAGGCATAACGCCCGATAAGTTTAACATCTTTCCTCCTGAAAACATTGGAGAGAATAGTTGATAGGCATATAAGGGACGGGGTGTTGAGGGTAAATCCTCTACACAAGTACCAATACGCCTATCAGGCAAGCAGATCAGTCGACACAGCCCTTCATAGCCTAGCCAGACTGTGTTGACTCCAAAGGCATTTGTGGAAATGAGAAAGCGGATGAACTTGCTAGAAAGGGATCCAAAACAGAGTTCATTGGCCCGGAGTCCTTCTGTGGCACATCTCCCAGTGTGGTCAGGCGGGCTCTGGGCAAATGGACTGAGACAGAGCACAGGAAATACTGGACTTCACGGCCAGGACATAGCCATTCTAAGGAGCTCATGGAGTATCCTTCGAAGGAAAGAGCGTATGATTTACTGAGCTACAGCTACAGAATCCGGCTCAGGAGGACTCATAACGGGACACTGTCGCTTTAGGAAACATCTACCTAAGCTAAAGCTTGTAGACAGTCTGGTCTGCCGAGGATGTGAATCGGCGGGTGAAACTTCTCTGCATATCCTGGGCGAGTGCCCGGGATTTGCACGTAGCAGAATGGCGCACCTTGGGAGACCCTATTTGGAACCCAAGGAACTGAGAGAAGTGTCAGCAAGGAAGCTCTTGGACTTTGTAAAAAGCACAAATCAATTTGCTGAATAGGACTAGTAGTGCGACGCACAATAGGCCTAATTAGGCTGCAATGCTATGGGACTTATTAGGACCAACCACTAGAAGAAGAAGTAGAGGGGGGAAGTGTGTGATATTGGCTATGGGCCTAAGTAACCGTCGATTCTCGGACTCTCGAAGTAATGTGTACAGATGTATAATTTAATTATTTATTTATTTATTTATACTGCACACATACAGATAAAGGGACAGTCCAATTACATGTATACAGTTGAGAAATGTTAGCTAATATAAAAACCAGTTTAAAATAATGTAGTTATAAACAACCAGACACATACAAAATACAATGTAAGAAGAGAACCAATAAAGAAATCATAAAATTGTCAATTAAAATGTACATAAAACACCCAATCGTATATGTATCATAAGTATGAGAGTAGCTTAGTCCGACTAATATTAAAAATATCAATATCATAAGTTCTTAATAAATTGTGGGTTCCAAATCACACTGCAATACTCCAATTTTGATCTTACAAATGTATTGAATAGCCTTATAACTGTGTTAGATTTAAACTCTTGGCTAGTCCTAAGAACAAAACCGAGCTTCTTGTTAAACTGTTAAACTTGTAATATGTTCATTAAATGTAAATTTTTTGCTAAAAATTACACCTAGGTCCCTGATTCTATTCAGAGGCTCTATCTCAACACCATTCACCGTATATACTCCCAATATACGGTATTTCTTCAGTGTATATCAAACCAGTTTACATTTTGCCTCATTTAAAGCTAGGTCATTATCTTTACAAAACTCGGAAACAGCTGTGACATCACTTTGCAGCTTTGCAACATCATCCCAACATGTTATGTTAAGATAAATTTTCAAGTTATCTGCATAGACTAAAAACTTTGCATGCTTTATATAATCATTTATAAATAAGATAAAAAGCAATGGTCCCAATATGGACCCTTGAGGTACACCGGAAGTTGACACAAAAGTTTCAGATTCTGCACCATTAAATTTCACAAAGTTTATCCGATCAGTCAGATAAGTTCTAATAAACTGTATCAAATCTATGTTAAAAGAATAAGAGTTAAATTTCCATAATGGCTGTCAGTCAATGATTCAACCTAAAAACGACTGTCTATAGACTTCCATAGCATTAGATTGAGATAAATGAAGCCCATATTTATAACAATCGTGTCAAAGTTAGTTTTACATATACATGTTTACAAAAATGTAACCAATATGAAAGACAATACGCTGTCAAGATGCCTTGCCGGCCGCGTTGACTGCAGCATCAAACCTCGATACTAGTCATTCCGCACTAGCTAGAGTTCCACAATTAGCCAGTCTACACACATCATCACTGACGCTCTCAGCGCTTTCTTAAAAATAATTCGTACTCTCACAACGCTTTTGATTTTGAACATAAATAAGATTTTTAATTTCAAACCGACCACTCCACTTCCCGCTTCCTACCTGGAAAAAATAATAAACAAATGAACAGTGGCGAAATGCCCCTATAAATAAATAGACAAAAAGCCGATACTATACCACAAAAAAATATATTCTCAAAAAAAATATTGATGAAAAAGAAAATATTGTATATTTGTGTAAAAAAAATATAACACATGTAAAAAATTATTAAAGCACAGCTTCTAGCTCAGAAACAATTTTAATTGTATAATAAATTAAAGAAAAATATATTAATCACAATATAATACGAGATGTTACATTTAATAAATGTTAAAATTATTACACATTGCTGGTTAAAGTTTGTAATATCTTCTGCAAGTTTTCAAAATCTACTTCTAAGTTGACAATTCCAGTTCTTTCTGTTGGAGGTAAATAATTCTTGGGAATTTTCACAAAACCAATATTAACTGGTTTAGATGCATTCATAGCCTAAAAAATAAAAATAATAAAAAATAACCAATAAGAAATAATTTGGAAACACATACCTTAGCCATTTCTTTTGTAGGGAAAATAACCAGATCAGTTTCAATTTTCCCACCAAATTTCCTCTTCACCCTTTCAGCCGCAACTTTTGATTGGAAAGCTTCTGCTCTGAGCTGCAAATCCAACATTCTCGCCTTCTCCTCTATAAAGTGTCTCTGCCATGCTGCCGGGCCATTTCCAGGTTTTACTTTGTAAATTGGAGGAAATTTCGGTGTAGCCAAAGCCATCAATATTTCCTATGATTACAATATCAAATTTTATAATTTTACCACTCTAATGACACGAATATTTACCTGTTTTAAAGCTGCTCCTTCCTTAAATAAATTCTCGATAATTTCATCATGGCTACTTTTAAATGACGGCAGAGGTGCCAAAGTCTCCAACTGCTTTTTAAGCTTTTCATTTTCTAATTTGATTCTTTCGTTCCGTTCTTGGTGGAACAATTTGCGCAAGTTATCTATTTCTTGCAACAACAAAGGGGAATCCTTTACAACTGCTGGTAAAGTAGGTCCAATGGAAGACTGAAGCGATGACAGCTGTGATCCTGAAATTAGAAATTTCAAGAAAACAAAAAATATGTGAATGGAGGTTTATAAATTTGATTCTTACCTGAAATACTTTTCGATAAAGATACCTCTAACTGCGCTTTCTTTGATAGAAGTTTCAATTTTTCCTTCATTTCCCCCTTTTCATTTTCGAGCGAATCTATATCAGTCTGCAAGTGATCCAAAGTCTCCTCAAATTCTTTTTCTTTTTTCTTATAGTTATTATGTGCTTCTTCCAATTTTCTTTGAAGCTTCTCGATGGTCAACTCATAGTCTTTATTCACATTTCCTAATTTCTTCTCGGCTAACTCTTTTCTTATAGTCATTTCAGATAACTGTTCTTGTTTTTCTTTCAAGAGTTTCCTCAATTCTTTTATGTCAGATTCTTTATTCTCTAGCTTGCCGGTAAGTGTTTTGGTTTGCTCCATCTCCTTCTTTACTGAACTGGCTCTTACATGAATTGGAGGAATAGGCTAAGATACAATTAACAATTTAATAGGTAGTATTAATAAGTATCAGTTACCCTCACCTTTTCTTCATTTTTGTTTGCAGTACTAATTTCGTATTCATTATCCTGCAAGAATTGTGCAAGCTGGGTAACCTGTGTAAGAATGAAACTTAATGAATTCTTAATGCTTTGCACAGGGCCTAGATCGTCTTGCTCATATATTTTGTCACTGGCGTTTATTGCTATATCTTTTATTTTATCCTGGCTCAAACCCTTTTCCATATCTACAACAATTCAGCAGAAAAAATGTTATTTTCTTTTTTTTGTTAAGTAACCTATTAATTTGTAACTAAAGCGGCCATATGAAGACAGTGGCGACAATAGAAGTCCCTGTGCTATTAAATGATGACCTCATAGTCCAGGAAATCATTAATGAATCATTTGTATTTGTAGTCAACTCAGTAGTAAATGCGATATGACGAAAAAGGTATTTTATAGGATTTAAATGAAAAGCCAATTAACTTCAAAGAAAAATAATTGTTCCTACTTTATATAAATTATATTATGGTGGCTTGGTCTAAAATTTCTGGTACTTATAATAAGTAATCCGATGTAAAATCCATCAATCCATGTTAAAGAGAAGTTTGGTTTTTATCGTTCCAGTGAAATAAATGTATATGATTCCAGTTGCTGTTTTTAAGTTTCATTATTTAGATAAAAGATTTATAAATCTGAAAATGGTGTACTGACTTCCCAATTTAAATAATCAAAGCATAAAAGTAGGTGTGTTGTACATTACAATTATAATATAAAATGTAGTTACATATTTCCTTAGACGTTAACTTTGCATTTGTGTTTATTAGTTCCATATGCAAATCTTAATTTTAGTGTTTTATTGAATATTCTAACAAGGAGAATGTAAGGTAATCGGAGTTTTGTAATTTTTGATATTTATGGTACATGTAGTTTGGACCTTGAATAAGAATTTTCTGAAGTAGTTCAATGCAACGTTCATAAATTACCGAGATAATCAATTTTGAAGTTTTAACTGCCAGCTAAATCCACTAGATGGCTATCTCGTGACTGTCACACCTGAAGGCTACCAACTAGGCCACGCTCCCAGTTGAAGAATATGTCGCACAATGTCAAATAAATTTCTGAAAAGTATTTAAAATGTATGTATAGAGTATGTGTAGTCGAGAAGAGTAGTCATATTCCGGTGGGGTTCCAGCTAAACAAGTAAATATTCAAAGTAATCTCTTGAATTTATTATTCATGATGGCAGATGCCCCTAAAACGAGAAGTGCTAAAACTATTGATGATGAGGAAAAGCTGATTCAAAGGGTCATTGAGAAGATATTGGAATCAGATAGGTTTCTATCTAAATTAATGGATAAAATATCTCAAGCTGTAACTGCGAGTATACAACCCACCATCAAGGTGTACAGTGAGAAGGTTGAACAACTTGAGTCAAAGATTATAGATGCTGCTAAGTTTATCGATAACCAGGAACAGTTCTCACAACAAAACAATTTAAGAATTTATGGTTTACCAGAAGAGAAAGGTGAAAATCTGAATCTTAAGATAACAACTCTGTTTCAGCAGAAATTCAATACTGAAATTAATGAAAGTGATATCGATTTCTGTTATAGACTTAGTAGTAAAGAAGGCAAAAATAGGCCTGTAATGGTGAGATTTTGTAGAAACCAGGTCAAACAAAAAATTGTAAAACGAAAAGTCATCTAAAGGGTAGTACTATAGTAATTAAAGAAGACTTAACTAGTAAAAAGTTTGCTGTCTACAAAAAAGCATGCGAGAAATTTGGCCCAAAAAGTGTATAGTGTTCTGAAGGTAAAATTCTATGCAAAGTGAATAATAAAATACATAAATTTACTTATTTGATGAAGCTGGATAACGTCAAGTAATTATTGTTTACTAAATTTTACCGATTGCTGTGAACTCACCTGTATAATGATGTATATTGGAATTATGATTCCTTTCGCTAACATATATATCTTTTTTCTTTGTTTTACTTTTTTTTGTCGAGAATTCAATTTGATAAGATAATCTGAATTTTTTTTTCTTTTTCTGATTGTATTGTAGTTTTATCATTAGTATATAATTTGATTAAACATTTTGTAAAATAAATTGGTTACTTAATAATGATTAAAAATAATATAACTATAGGGCACATAAATGTGCAATCTCTTATACCGAAAATAAATAAAATACAAGATTTTTTATTAGATCAAAATTATGATATTTTGGCAATTTCTGAAACTTGGTTGTCGTCATGTATTAGTGACTTGATAGTTAATATTGAAAATTATAATATTGTTAGGAGGAATCGTGTTGGCAGAGCTGGGGTGTATGTTTTTATACTAGGTTTTTATGTTTCAAATAAATTGAATTATAAGGTAGTAGAACTATCTAATGACATTGAACAGTTGTGGATTTCAGTTAAGACACAAAATAGTACTAATATATATGGTGTAGTTTATAGGCCTCACAGGGTAGATTATAATTTTTTTCTGTCTAGTTTAGAGAAATCTGTATGTCATTGTATTCCTGAATGTGAGAACATTTTCATTTTAGGCGATTTAAATATAGATTTGCTTTTTGTTGACAACCCGGCTGTAATAAATTTTAACTCGTTTCTTGAGATGCTAGGGTTAGTACAGGTTATAACTCAACCTACTCGAATCACGAAAGATTCCAAGACACTACTAGACTTAATAATAACTTCAAATAGTTTATTGTGCTTAGCTCAGGTAATTTGGAAATATATTATGTAGCTGACCATGAACTAGTTTTTTGTGAATTAAAGTCAGATTTGAAAAGATTGCCATTTTGTTACTTACCGTGATTTTAGTGGGTTTAATGTTGAACAGTTTATTGACTTAAATAATTTACCACTGCATAATTTGTTTTATATTGAGAATGTAGAGCGCAAAGTTTGTTATTTCAATGACTGCTTGACTAACTTATTTAATATACATGCACCTTACAAAACTGCAAAAATTTCAAGGCAACGTAAGCCATGGATGACTGATAACATTAAATTATTAATCTCTCTTAGAAATAAAGCTATATCAAGATTCAGAAAATCTAAATTAGATGCACATTGGAACTATTATAAACAACTAAGAAATTACACTGAGATTGCAATTAAAAATGAAAAGCGAGCATATTTTAATTCAAAATTTAGAACCAATGATCCTAAGGATATTTGGAATGGCTTAAAATCTTTAAACCAGGCCTGGATCCAGAGGGGGTGGCGATGTGGCGATCGCCACCCCCAAAGCACAACATTTTTTAAAGATCTTCAATTTCTCCAAACGACAACAGGCAGTTAGTCGATATTAATGCAAGTAGAAGGATTCATTAGTGTTAAGCTCGTCTGAAAAAGTGCCACATTTTTCATTAGTTTATTGCTATTTTGCAATGCAAATTTTAAAAATTTTGGTTCGCCAATATGCCTATCTTGTACAACATTCAATAATAAACAAAAAATCTATAGTTACTTTTTTCGTCCGAGGCTTCCTTTACGAATAATAAGCGATAATATCCGAAAAAACGGGCCATTTTTGAATTATTTCGCACTTTTCGTTAATTTAAACAAACTTCCCATGGTTTTCAGCTTTCCGAAGGTCGATATTCCGAATGTACACATTTTTCCGGTTCGATTAAAAAAAAAAAAAAAGGTTTACATCAAGCAACAGCCATTTCGGCTTGTTTTTTGGCTCCGCCGACTGGACTATTATGACTTTTAACGAAACGGAGACAGGTAGATAGAGCCAGTCAATAGATTGCCTGTCTGCCTGTTGGGATTTTCCATACGCCTGTCTCAAAACGTTTATGGCGCAATAAATTTTTATGGCTTGAATGGGAAATTTCGTTATTTTTCTTTTACGTTTTTATTTTGAATCTCAAAACCCGGAATTTTTGGATTACGCGTTTTCTTGTCTCTTGGAGATACCTCTCCCCCAGTGGGCAGTGGCGGGACCCCCACTCCCGTTTTTAGTCAGATTTTCAATCTTCNGACTGTCACACCTGAAGGCTACCAACTAGGCCACGCTCCCAGTTGAAGAATATGTCGCACAATGTCAAATAAATTTCTGAAAAGTATTTAAAATGTATGTATAGAGTATGTGTAGTCGAGAAGAGTAGTCATATTCCGGTGGGGTTCCAGCTAAACAAGTAAATATTCAAAGTAATCTCTTGAATTTATTATTCATGATGGCAGATGCCCCTAAAACGAGAAGTGCTAAAACTATTGATGATGAGGAAAAGCTGATTCAAAGGGTCATTGAGAAGATATTGGAATCAGATAGGTTTCTATCTAAATTAATGGATAAAATATCTCAAGCTGTAACTGCGAGTATACAACCCACCATCAAGGTGTACAGTGAGAAGGTTGAACAACTTGAGTCAAAGATTATAGATGCTGCTAAGTTTATCGATAACCAGGAACAGTTCTCACAACAAAACAATTTAAGAATTTATGGTTTACCAGAAGAGAAAGGTGAAAATCTGAATCTTAAGATAACAACTCTGTTTCAGCAGAAATTCAATACTGAAATTAATGAAAGTGATATCGATTTCTGTTATAGACTTAGTAGTAAAGAAGGCAAAAATAGGCCTGTAATGGTGAGATTTTGTAGAAACCAGGTCAAACAAAAAATTGTAAAACGAAAAGTCATCTAAAGGGTAGTACTATAGTAATTAAAGAAGACTTAACTAGTAAAAAGTTTGCTGTCTACAAAAAAGCATGCGAGAAATTTGGCCCAAAAAGTGTATAGTGTTCTGAAGGTAAAATTCTATGCAAAGTGAATAATAAAATACATAAATTTACTTATTTGATGAAGCTGGATAACGTCAAGTAATTATTGTTTACTAAATTTTACCGATTGCTGTGAACTCACCTGTATAATGATGTATATTGGAATTATGATTCCTTTCGCTAACATATATATCTTTTTTCTTTGTTTTACTTTTTTTTGTCGAGAATTCAATTTGATAAGATAATCTGAATTTTTTTTTCTTTTTCTGATTGTATTGTAGTTTTATCATTAGTATATAATTTGATTAAACATTTTGTAAAATAAATTGGTTACTTAATAATGATTAAAAATAATATAACTATAGGGCACATAAATGTGCAATCTCTTATACCGAAAATAAATAAAATACAAGATTTTTTATTAGATCAAAATTATGATATTTTGGCAATTTCTGAAACTTGGTTGTCCTCATGTATTAGTGACTTGATAGTTAATATTGAAAATTATAATATTGTTAGGAGGAATCGTGTTGGCAGAGCTGGGGTGTATGTTTTTATACTAGGTTTTTATGTTTCAAATAAATTGAATTATAAGGTAGTAGAACTATCTAATGACATTGAACAGTTGTGGATTTCAGTTAAGACACAAAATAGTACTAATATATATGGTGTAGTTTATAGGCCTCACAGGGTAGATTATAATTTTTTTCTGTCTAGTTTAGAGAAATCTGTATGTCATTGTATTCCTGAATGTGAGAACATTTTCATTTTAGACGATTTAAATATAGATTTGCTTTTTGTTGACAACCCGGCTGTAATAAATTTTAACTCGTTTCTTGAGATGCTAGGGTTAGTACAGGTTATAACTCAACCTACTCTAATCACGAAAGATTCCAAGACACTACTAGACTTAATAATAACTTCAAATAGTTTATTGTGCTTAGGTCAGGTAATTTGGAAATATATTATGTAGCTGACCATGAACTAGTTTTTTGTGAATTAAAGTCAGATTTGAAAAGATATGTTACTTATCGTGATTTTAGTTTTAGATTTAATGTTGAACAGTTTACTAATGACAAATAATTTACCACTGCATAATTTGTTTTATATTGAGAATGTAGAGCGCAAGGTTTGTTATTTTAATGACTGCTTGACTAACTTATTTAATATACATGCACCTTACAAAACTGCAAAAATTTCAAGGCAACGTAAGCCATGGATGACTAATAACATTAGATTATTAATCTCTCTTAGAAATAAAGCTAAATCAAGATTCAGAAAATCTAAATTGGATGCACATTGGAATTATTATAAACAACTAAGAAATTACACTGAGATTGCAATTAAAAATGAAAAGCGAGCATATTGTAATTCAAAATTTAGAACAAATGATCCTAAGGATATTTGGAATGGCTTAAAATCTTTAAACTTAAAACAACATAAAGATAGTAATTTACCAATTCATCTCGGAGATCCTAATATAATAAATAATCATTTTATCAATAGTAAACCAGTTTCAAATTATGATAATGGTCGTTTAGACGTTTAATAAATTATTACGAAAATAATACATATAATAATATCCCTGCAAATTTTGAATTCTTATTAGTGGACGTAAATACCGTTTCTAAAATTTTATATTCTATTAAAACAAATGCCATGTACAAAAACTCCTTCATATTTGTATAACAAAATTCGCTTTCGTACTGATGTACATAATATAAACATTAGAAATAAGCATTTTATAACACCACCTTCACATAAAACTAGTTTCTACGAACGATCTTTTACTTATAACATTTCAAAACTTTACAACGTACTGCCAGATGACTTTAAAACATTGTCTTCAAAGAATTTTAAAACCAAAGTTTCAGAATACTTATTTAGTAATCAGTGAGCAACTATATTTTTGCTAATTTTAGGTTATCTTATATTGCCAAATTGTTTTTCTTATTTGTTGTTTTTTTTCCTCTGTTCTCTTGGCTACTACTGTTGTAATATTTTAATTAGTTAATTAATTACATACATTAGACCAGCGATTCTCAAACTTTTCTCAACATGGAGCCCCTATCAGTCAAATATAAAAGGACGGAACCTCTCTGGTTTCGTCACAGATTGTTTCATGGTAGGTACTGCGTAGACGCAGAGTTTTAAAAATATTAATGGTTGTCAAAAAAACTAATACAGTTATTAGTTCTAAAATTGTTGCATTCCAGATAATTTTAACAGTATCCTACGTTCCCAGTGGAAGGGAGGATACTTTTAAAATTTTTGGAGGGGTTTTAGAAACATATGCAGAAAAACTTGTTTCGCAAAGATATGTCCTTGCGAATGACAGCAGGATGGCAACAGCTTTGCTTGACAGCTCTGGATACTCCGGTTTTCAATTACTCCAAAATTCTGCTAGTGGTTGCTTTTCAAAGGTCAGTTTTAATGAGGAATAGCAAGTCAAATCTATTAATTTTTTCATACTCTTGAAAGGTTAAATTTTGAGGCTTTTCATTAACACTAAATGGGTTTATAACCCAAAAATATTTTTCTAGATGTGTATCCCACTCATTCGGAAAGTAGCGCATCACCGAATCACATATTTCTGAGATGCAAAATAATGTCGTCAACTACTTCTTGTGGTAAATTTTCTGTATCCATCTCTTCACAAAACTCCTTTAACATTGGAAAACAGTTAAATTCTCCACTTTCTACATTATGTAACCAAAATTCGAACTTCCGTTTAAAAGACTTAATTTTGTTATTAGCCGTAAACACAGTTATGTCCTTTCCTTGAAGTGACATTAACATAATTAATTTTAGAAAATATTTCTGTTAAATAGGCAAGTCTAAACAACCAGTTGCTAACCGCTGCCAGTTGGCACTGGCGGAGCCCCTCCATTCCTCCGGCGGAGCCCTGGGGCTCCGCGGAGCACACTTTGAGAAACGCTGCATTAGACTATACCTTACTGTAAATATCTATCTGATATACTAGGTAAGTGCATCATATCGAGAGATGGAGCTTGCTCTATCTGCTTGAGCACAGCCTAGAGGTTTTCCTACTCGTTTCAATACTAGTAGAACTAATTATATGTTTTTACTTTGTATCTATAAATGGAAAATAAATGTATTATTATTATTACTATGTTGAAGTCTGAACGTCCATTCCGACACTCGCCATTAAATGGCTATGACACCATTGTCGCCCTGTCATTTATAAAGCCACTAACATAAAAATGATATTACACCATTTCCCTTTCGCGAATTAACGAATAATGTCGATTAATTTTTATAATTACGAGATGTATCCACAAAGTAAGAGTACTGAGACTGATTCTCTGTGGTTTTCATTTTCAACAAAGTTGGCAACACTGCATTCAAGGCCAACGAATTGCGAGCAGAACGCCTGCTCATTTGTCTCAGTCAATTGAGAACTGTTGTTGTGGTGGCGTGTTGAAATGAGTGCCGCTATTCCGAATCCCAGCAACTGCGAAGTGAAGAGCGTAATTCGGTTTCTTCTTGCAAAGGGAAAGGCCCTGTTCCAGATTTTTAATAAACTCAAAACTGTTTATGGGAATGGTGTATTAATGTGTACAAGTGGTGTCGTGAGTATAAAACTGGCAGAATGAATGTGACATAGAAGTCGGCATCCCCCAATCGTGACTGATGACATAGTGAACAAAATCGAAGAACTGCTTTGTGTCGACCGATTGACTTTGGACGAGATGAATGCAGTGTTTCCACAAATCTCCAGATCTCTTCTGCTTGAAATTATTGCTGAAAGACTTGGTTATCGAAAACTGTGTGTGAGGTGGCTACCAAATCAGCTCACGTATCAACACAAAGCTAACAGATTAGCATCTTCATGGGAATTTCTCGAGTGCTTCGAACTGGAAGGTGAACAATTTCCTGACTGTACTGTGACTGACGACAAAACATGGGTAGCCCACTATACTTCTGAGATGAAAAGAGTATCAATGCAATGGTGACATCCACCTTCACCATCAGCGAAAATATTCAAAACCGTGGCATGGCAACCATGTTTTAGGACTGTAAAAGGACTCTCCTCATTGACTTTTTGCCCCAGGGGAAAACAGTTGATGTTGTATGGTACAGTAAAACACTGAAAGCACTAGAGGGCGATACAAAACAAAAAAAGAGGAATGTTAACAAAGGGAGTGTGCTTGTTGCACGACAATGCTTGTCCACACAGCCAATGCCACGAAGCAACTCTTGAATTCATTTGGTTGGAACATCATCAACCACCCCACTCACAGCCCTGACCTGGCACAGTCTGAATTTTATCTTTTCTCTGAAGGTGTTTATGGGTGAAAAAGGTTTTCTACCGACAATGAGGTTCACAGAGCCCTGAAACAATGGGCCTGAGAGAAGGCAGGAGATTTTTTTGACGAAGGTATCAGAAAGTTCATCTCTCCACTCACAACGTTGAGATTGAAGAGGACTATGTCGAAAAATAATGTACCTTTCTGAATATATAAATTTTTCATAAAAATAAGGCCGTTTAGATTTTTTTTAAATTGATTACTTTTTGTGGATATACCTCGTAGTTTAAGTATTTTTTTTATATTTTTTTCATGTTAAAGACCATTTTCTTTTCTTTTAAACCATCTCATTATTTTGTGATCATATTTGTTTCTTTTAAATGTACTAAATTCTTATTTATTATAAAAAAAAATCTTTAAACAAGCTTACCGCCAGTGGCGTTCAGGGTCTGAATGGTGCTCTTCACGATATCATGAAGTGTTTTCAGTATTTTTCCAGAGTGTTGGTAACACTGATATAAATTTTCTGACACCTCTTTATTTAAACCTAAATTAGTTAAACTTGTATCAAGTGGTAAACGGCGTTTCACTAATTTCAATTGCTGTTGTAGTTGCTCAGATGTTGTGATAATATGTTGCGCTAAAAGGCCTACATCGCCCACATTAGCCGTCTAAAATCAATAATATAATTAGATCAGTTACGAAATAAACTTTAAATTTGACAAATCCATTTTACTCTTAGAAATGTAATAACAAAATGTGCAATAAACAATATACAGGGTGTAACTTTGAATGGGGGACAAATTTGTGTTTCAATTCCAGTAAAAACTAATATTTCACACAGAAAGACGTGAAATCTCCTACTATGTATGTCGAAAAAATAACAGAACTTTTTAAATTTAATGTTACTAACGCTATCTATTGAAATAATATATAATCTTAAAACTGTATATCTCCCCTACCAAATGATACCGCTATCAAGAATCGATCAACGGATTGTGAAGTTATAACGCTTAAAGTGACCTTTTGTCACCTCCTCACAAAAACACGATGGAGCAAAGAGCTACTATTAAATTTTGTTTCAAGTTCGGTAAAACTTTTACAGAAAGTTTATAGTGATGATTGCTTATCCTGTACGTGTATGTTCGAGTGATGTAAGTGATTCCAGGACAGTTGTGATGCTTTAAAAGCCGACCCAATGCCAGGCCGGTCAAAAAGCAAAAATCGCAATGAGTTGGTGGAAAAAGTGTGTGAAATGATCGTCTACGATGTAAATTTGACTGTGAGATGGATAGTGGAGGAATTAAATACGATTCAAGACATGATTCACAAAATTTTGACAAGGATTTAAACAAACAGAAAGTCTATGCTCGATTTTTCCTCATGCCGCACAGTGTTTCACTTTCCCGATTTCATGGCCAAAAATACTTTTTGTTATTGGAATGGGCTGAAAATTTATGTACAGGGGTTTTTTGGGTCGCTGATTTCGAAAATGCAATTTTTTTTTGAAGTTCAAAATGGCTGACCAAAATGGCCGCCATTTTTTGTTAAAAAATTGTTTATTACAAAAATGATACGAATGGATGCACTTGTAAACAAGTTATTATTTTAACAATGAAATTCAAAATGGCGGTTAAAAAAAATTAATATAAAAAAAATGATATTTTGTGCTGGAATAGCGATATAACTCACTTTTTCTTTGAATATATTTTTACTGTGCAATAAACCAAAATTACATTGATTAAATTTAATTAAATGAATAACTAGTGTGACTGCTAGAGTGTATATTTCGAGTCACAATCGTCTGAGGGCATATCGAATAAGTCTGCTGATATTAATAATTGTAATATTTTCTGAGATTTTCAATCATTAAAAAAATATCTTTTCTTGATAAAGAAGTTATATTCCTAAAATTCCTAAAATGAGAAACACAATGCCGACTTCTATGTTCCTCGTTAAATTAAAATTCATAATAATTAGGAAAACAATTTATTAAGTATTACCCCTAACCTTTCCTTCATACCTGGCCAGCCCTAACCCTCAAAAAGGCCGAGCGCCAAATTCCTCTGTAGCGTGCGGCCAAATTCTAATGAATCTGAAATGTGCCACAACACCTCTCAGCAGCCAAATTTGGTCTCTACTTAAAGTCTATTCCTTCCCCTTCATGCAATTTCGAGGCGGAAGTCGGCGGAAGTTTTTATTAAAAGTCCGTCCGAAAGTTTTTCTAACTCGGAAGCAATGCACTTTTATCGGACTACATTCTAATGCACATTCATTACTTAAAAATAACAAGTCTTTATCATTTCATTGTTAAAAAGTAATCTACATATGTTTAGGAACAACGTCCAAAAGAAATTTTTAAAAACAATTCACTAGTTTGAAAAATATTCACTTCACAATATAACTATGTTGGCAGAGCGGCAAGCGCGCTATACGTGCAACTGCACGAACCTCATCTTTCAGTGTTCACTAGCCTCAAGTAATAAACCCAGGAACCTGTCCTTCGGGATTATGGTGTCCCAAAGCTCCCTGTACAATATTACAATGATGAAAAATCGAAATGCCAACCTTCGATTTTGGAATTTTTACCATGAAATTGGGAAAAGGAAACACTGTGTGCCGAGAAATTGGTTTTTATTGCACGATAATGCACCATCTCACAGAATCGTCGCTGTTCGTGAATTTTTGATGAAAAAACTAGTCTGTGTGACCATGAAATAAATGTTTTATGACAATGTTACACAAGTCAAAAAAGCTGTCATTGAGGCAATTCCCAAAAACGACAAAAAAAATCTATGCTAGCATTGGTTGAACGTGCCCAGTGGTGTATTGAGGCTGAAGGGATGTATTTTGAATAAAAAGAAATAATTTTGGCAAAACAACTAATTCTTTGTTTTAAATTTAAAAAGTTTCGTTATTTTTCCGATATACTGTGTATGACGTTCTCATCAATTAATAAACCGAAAACTATACTACACAAATAAATGTAATAAAATAAAAGCAGTCCAATCCATTTGTTTGCAAAACTGTTTTCATAAATATAATCTTTAACTGATTGTTTTGGCGCAAGGATTTATTTCATTAATTTTTTATATTTTTGTTTTCAGAGGGAAAAATATCCAATAAATAAAAAAATGAGATTTATGCCAGAAATAAGTAACTTCAGACAATATTATAACCAATCATATCACATCAAGTGGATTGCTGTTATGTAGTACACCTAAACCAATATCTCATATAAAAAAAAAAAATAGTTTCAGATTATTCTGGGGAATTACAAATTAAAAAACTGACCCCCATTAAAGTTACACCCTGTATAGACAAATATGTACTTACTTCTATTAGACTCCTAATAATTGTAGCATCTATTGCAAAACCATCAGCAACGGATAATAAGCATTTAACGTTGTCACTAAGTAGCTGAGTATGATTAATCGTTAAATCTGATCCTAGAAGTACAGGAAATAGGGTATTAAAGTAAGCTACACTTTTTTCTAGCGCCTCGGTAGGGACATTTTCGTCTAACTGGTCACGTCTTACCAGCTCTACATATCCATCGATAATTTTCTCTTGGGCTGCCATTTCTGGGTATGTTGCACCTACTTTCAGTAAAGCGTCTGGTTTGCAACTGTTCAAAGCGTAATGATATTGATGTAAGATACCCTACAAGTATATTATTTTATGTCAGGTTGACTTTTTCACACTTACTTAAAATTCTTGAAAGTAGTCAGAAAATCACTGCTTAACGAACCTGAAGAGCGAAAATGTAAGATGAGATTCGACATCTAAAAGCAAACTGTTCCACAGAGTGTCCCTTTATTATTGCACTTCTATCCACTTTATCCACATTTGGAAATTTGTCTTTTATTTGGCTTAACAAAATTTCGGTCTTGTGGATTAAGCGTGGTATGAGCAGCAACAGCAAGACAGCGTCATGATCGCCTAATAAAAAATTTTAAAAATTACATTTCTTTTTTACTTTGTTTATAAGTGAAAATTATAAAGAGCACAAAATTTAGAATCACCTCCTCTATTCATAAATGATTCGGGCATGTATGAAGTCAAATATTTGATATGCTGCTGAAGCTGCTGAATGTCCACTCTTCTCAGTTCCAAATCTATGGCCTTGATGTGTGCCTTAGTTTCCGTAAACATTTTTTTGAAATCCATAATTTCAGGGAGCGCCGATACAGGTTTGCTCGTCTCTTTCTCTAGGCGGTGCTGCAAATCTAAAGACTGTTCCTGGAGTTGTTGCACTAGTTGCCTAAATTTGATTATGGTTTGTTCACGATCGGCTATTGTTTCTAATGCAGCATCTCTATCCCGCATAGCCTATAAATCAAAAAAGGGAAATTAATACATAGCTCTACTAAAATAAAAATAGTTGCACTAACTTCTCTCGTAGCTGCCTGAGCCATATCTAACTCCTCTCTCAGATCAGCTTCAAGTTCCGCATTGCTTTCAACCAACTGGTCATTCATGTCCTGTAATGCTTCTAGTTCGGAAACTTCTTCTTGAAGTTGGGCAACTTTTTCTTCGAGACTCAATTTTTGTTCTCCCAAAATGACTACCATTTCCTCTGCACCTAAGGCTGCATCAACCTGAATATTCATTTTATGTTCAAAAATGCAATTTGAGTTCAGTAGATATAAATTACCTGCTCTTGTAAATCTGATATCTGTTGTTCCATAGCCTCCACTCGGGCGCTTAGTTTTTCTTTCGTTTTACCCAATTCTACTATTTCTGACTTCTTTTGATCAATGTCCTTTAACAGTTTTTGATATTCATGCTTCTCATGAGCAGACAGATCTCTTAGTCTGACCAAGGTTTCTCTCAATCGTGCATTTTGTTGTTGTAGTTGTTTAATCTCATATGCAGAAAATTGGCCCTCGTCGTTCGATAATACTGCCCCGCCAGCTACAAAAAAAAAATACTGAATGCTAAAGTATACTGTTCATTTTATAGAATTAACCCTTTCGCTGCGCAATACGTCTAAACATAGCTACCGCGCCGTGCACGAAAGTTTACCGCATGCGAGTATACTCGTCTAGAGCTGTTCGACTACTTACATTTTTACATTATGTTGTGTTAAATTAAATTAAAATATGTTAAAAGGTTTCAAAATAATTGTAATAGTTTAGTTATTAATATTTTATTATAAACTATGCTCCTCAACCTCAAACTCGTCGCCGCTATCGCTCCTCGCTAAAATTTCTTCCAATTCTTTGTCTGTCAATTTTCCAGATCTTTTTATGATTTTATCTTAAATAAAATATAATATATCGACAGCCATACTAAACAGAAACTCAAAAAGAGACGAACAATCTTGGCATTATTGCCAGTACCTCCTTCCATAAAAATAATTGCCACAATCGCTATAAGCTCCGCCCACAAAAATTCCCTATACTAATTGCAACAACCGAGTCACTAATGCGCATGGTTGCGAATATATACGGTTTGAGCAGCCTGATTCAATTTAACTATTCAAGCGAATTAATTTGTCTAGAGCAGTTTGAGTCCTATGAATTTTTAGCGAATAAACTCGTCTGAAGCGGTGAAAGGGTTAATAGAATTTTTTTCAACAAACTATAAAAACAGGTGATTATCAAAGAAATTATGAATGCTGTATTCAGGCTGTATTCTTTAGATGGTAATAAAAGACCTCAAAATAAGAAAAAATACAATTATAAACATAGATCATAGAAAAGTGTGCGTTCAAGATACAGTCGAAAAAAATCACATTTATTTAAATATCTCTTAATACGTTTGACGTAGATTGATAAAACTTAATTATGGGCAAATAATCGCTGAATTGATCAACCAGTGGCAGAGATTCTAAGAGATACTACCACAAGACCAGAATTTCAACGCCTTTAAAGTTGGTGTTTCTAAAAATAAAAAAGTCTTCAATTTTATTCGAAAACGAGCCATTCTTGAGTGTTTATTTTTTCAGGAATAAGACATCAAAAAGTAACTTCAAAACTAATTGTTTAACAAAAACAATTTATAATAGACCAATCAAAATAACTCATTTAGAAGGAAAAAAAGAAATAATTGTTACCTGGACTATTTTAAGTGGAAATGGTAAAGGGGATTATAATAAGCGTAAAAAAAATAAATGCAAGAGCAGGGTTGGTAGAGGGTTGATTTGGGGTATCAAAAAGGGGTGAAAATTTGTATTATTGCGATTACCGGTAGTAGTTGTCTGCTACAATATCAGCATTATTCTTTAAAATAGCGTTATGTGACAGTTATAACAAAATATGTTTTTTTTTATTTATAGGTTTTTTTTTAGAAATTAAATAATAGATATTGTGTAATTATAAAAAGTTCATAAACTTGATAAACTGTAAATATTCTGGTGGATAATAGACTTGTAAAAAAATAAAAATTGCTAAACCAATAATTTTTTTTAGCTTTCTAACAAAAAGTTTATATATATATATATATATATAGTTTTATAAGGTCCTTGTTTCTAAAGTTTCATGAAAATAAAAACTCGACCTGTATTTGATTGTAAAAAATATATACAGTACAACTTTGACAGTCCGGACATGCGCCAGTCCGGTCACTCCAATAATTCGGACGCTTCTACATTTCGGACAATTTAAAATTTTTACCTCTACAATCCGGACAAATTTTTTTTATGCAAGAATAAATATTAAAATTCGGGGTTTCCCGTTTGTTACTCGCATGTTCTATCATTATCTCGCTCTATCATTACTTCAGTTTCGGTTCATTCTTTCGCAAGCGTGTTTGTCTAATTCCATTCCAAGTGCCATGTTTTTATATAATAAACGCAAACATAAAGCACTAACCTTAAAGGAAAAGTGTGATATTTTACAAAGTCTTGATGAGGGAAAAACTATTAGGCAGGTTGCCGAAAAATTCCATGTTAAATCAACGACTTGCGGCATTAAAAAAATAAGGAGAAGATAAAACAATTTATTTCGAATACCTATAATGGACCCGGTAACATTTGAACCAGAATAATGTAATAAACCATTTTCTTAATATGTATAATTTTTTTTAGGAAATAGAAAAGTTATGAAAAAAGCAGAAAATCCAGAGTTAGAGGAAGCGCTTTATACATGGTTTTTGCAACAAAGAAACAATCATATCCCGATTTCCTCAGAAATCCTCAGAGCTCAGGCTGGTTGGATAAATTTAAGTTACGGCATGGTATTCGTTATCTAAAAATTTGTGGTGAAAAAGTTTCCAGCGATGAAAGCGTTGTGGAGTCTTTTAAAAAAAAGTTTGCCGACATTGTTGCTGAGATGTTGCCTGGTAACACATGGGTGCATGCAACGGAAAAGTCAGCCCCAGGGAGAAAAATTTCCAAAGTTCGTGTGACATTTACGCCATGCTCAAATGCTGCAGGAATACATAAACTGCCTCTTTTGGTTATTGGCAAATCTGCTAATCCAAGAGCCTTTAAAGGTTATAAGATTCCAGTGGTATATAATGCAACTAATAAAGGATGGATGTCAACGTCCCTTTTCTTGGACTGGTTCAAAAACCATTTTATTCCAGAAGTAAAAGGGTTTCTAACACAGGTTAACAGACCACTCAAAGCATTATTGATATTACATAATGCTCCTTCACATCCTGAAGCGGATGAAATTAATTTTGACCCAAATTTCAAAATTCTTTTTTTACCACCAAATTGTACGGCAATCTTACAGCCTATGGATCAAAATTTAATACAAAACGTAAAGGTTGCTTACAGAAAACAATTACTGCAACATATTTTATCAGAAATTGATGATGATGATGTCGACGTGGTTAAAGTTTTAAAAATGTTTAACCTTAAAAATGCTGTTTATTTCTTGGACTTAGCATGGCAAAGCATTAGTGAAAAAAATATTCGGAAAAGCTGGTCTGCATTGTGGCCAAGGACTGCATCGTGCTGGGATGATGAAGATATGATACCGCTTCAGGTTCTGCGTCATGAACTGCAGTCTGATGGCATCTATGATGACATGAAATCCATCCAAAATATGATTGGAGCTAAGAATTTCAGTAATGACATAACTGAAGAAGATATCAATGATTGGGCAACTGGTGCAAATGAATTTTCATTGGATTTTTCCGATGAAGAAATAATACAACACGCTAAACGAAATGAATCGTCAGTGCTGCTTACGGACTCTGAAGACGACTTTGTAGTAATGAATGCTAAAATAAAGATCTCTAATACTGCTGCAAAGAAATCATTTTCAGTTTGCGTTCAGTGGGCTGAGGAGAATAATTTGGATAAGCACAAATCAACCACCTCAACAAAGTTAGTCAGCACAAAATAACTTCGTTTTTTAATAAATCATAGTATGTATGTACATATGTATTTAATTCACTTAGATTACATATTTTAATAATTTAATATAATAATTTATTGTTTTTTAATAAATCATAGTATGTACAACGCATGTATGTACATACAATTTAATTCACTTAGATTATTTCAATATTTTCACCTACTATAGTCCGGACAACTCGTTAATCCGACCGACCCTAAAACTATATGTGTCCGGATTGTCGAAGTTGCACTGTAATTGTATATGATAAAAATATTTTGTCAATTTTGAAATAGCGGTACGAAAAGCAAAGAACTCTTTTGACAAGACGGTACTAAATATTACCTTTTTCTTGCATTTCTGCTTTTAGTATTTCCAAATCCAACGTCACTTCCTCCAACCGTTCTCTACACACCTCCAGTTCCAATTGCAACGTCTCGGCCTTTTCTTCAGCCATCTCCTTATCTAGAGTTGCCATTTCCACAGCTTCGGCTAAATCTGCCACTTCTTCTGCATGAGCCTCGCGAGCTTCTACAGCCTCCTTGGCATCTTGCTTTGCTCTCTGCAACTCCCTCTGGAGACTGGCTTGTGCTTCCATAATTTTAGATTTAAATTCAATTAATTGTTCCAACTAAGAAAAATAAAATTATGTCAATAAACATGATCCAAGTTATAGGACCCATTTCAATCTTACCTGAATTCTTAGCTTGTCATAGTCCTTAAGCTTTTCTTTGTCTTCTTGTCTCTTCACCTTAAGAGTTTCCAGTTTTTCCCCTAAATCTCGTATCTGCTGACTCCGGTTTTCTAGTTCCTGCTGCAGTTGCAAGTTGCTGATCTTTTCCTCCACCGAAGTAATTGGGGTAGGAGTGGTCGTCATTGCTTGTCCTGGAGTAAACTGTGGCTTAAGAGTCTCCACAAATCCAGTCTAAATGAAAATAGAACAATATTTATGTTATATTAATATATACATGTAAATTTGTTTATTAATTTTTATCACAGTTCTGATTTGTTTCTATCAATAACAGAATGTAGTATAATATCAACTACATATACAGATAACAAAATAAAGAGTTTTAAAAACATCAGAGTTAGAATATTTGATATCTACTCATTTGTTTATATTACACAACAGATAAAAACTAATTGACTTTTTTCTCCCAAAATATTTCAATTTAACTTTGTATATGGCTACGGTTTGATTACATGGCTCATTATGAGAAAAATAAATGATTAATTCAAATCCTTAATGCAATGATAAGCAAGGAAAATTAAATATTGCATTGCTGCAGAAAATGCAGAGAAATGGACTCCACTCACAATAGTCCAAGGCTGTGCTTTAATATTGTCAAATAAATTGGTACAATAGAGTTATATTGTGAGCGATTCATCCAGGCACATCTTGTACATACCATAAACATGTCCAATTGGATAAATTCTTGTCATAGCCCGATTAAATTTAAATGTAATCTAAATTTTTGCTAGTGGTTCTCTCTTGGCAAATATTTAAAAAATTTACAGAAAATTGTTCTGGTGGTAGGTTGCACGTTTTTAACTAGTGATATTGTGGGAAACAACTACTCTGTGAGATACATGATCTGCCCACAATTGAGTTACATTCCCAGTATCTAGTAAACAGGCATCCATCGGTTTCAAACTAATAAGTTTGAAACTGGTCTATAACTGATTTTAACTATTTTATTGTGGGTGTAATTTAATGTTGTGCAGTTAAAAAGTTAATTTCGCCTAGTGTGGTACTAGTAATTATTTCATAGTACCTACCGATTAGTAGGTCACTTTTTGTCAGTAGGTACAAAATAATGCTTTGTGCCAATAAGCATTGAGTAACAATGATATTTAACGTACTTGATATGATATCATACTTTGTACGTTATAACTTAATCCACAAAAGTTTACCAGTTTTATTTATAATATTGAGAAACTCTACTGAATTTAACAACACCACATAGTTGCACGTTTGATGAAATATTAAAATGCAGACCAGTGACGGAAACTAAACAATGTGACATCATTGCAAATATTTGCTTTCTAACAACATGAAAATAACATTTTTCTCTGTCACTATTTTACCCTATTAATTCAGACATATATCTGCCCAGAGACGGGCAGGTTCAATTCTGTAATCCAGTTTATTGACCTATGATTGAATTAATGACAAAGCGTGCCATTTTGTTTTTCTGATCTTCCTATCTCGGATCTTAGGATAGCCTTTTTAATTCTTGATTCTCGTACTACTGCATCACAATGATCACAAAATTGATATTTTGTATTTTAAAAAAGTATCTACTGTTTTTAGGTAATTATTTAATAATCATATGAAATAACACATACGTAAGTAGTAATTAGTAATGAACAAATTTTTATAATAATTGCAATATATGAAAAACATATTTAAAGCGCCGATAATTTTTAAGCGTTTATAATTCTATAAAACAATGAAAGATACAGTTCTACAAAATGAACAATTCAGTGACCTCTGATGAGTTTAGGAACGACTCAAAACAAGTAGGCTATGAACAGGTTCTTTAGTTTTCTGCGATTTGGTTCATTTAGTTCAAAAGTGAGATGCGATTCTTCTGAATGGGCCGACCGCGAAAAACATACCTCTAACATCTGCAGATTTCTTATAAATTGCTTTATTGTCTCCAAACAACACTAAAATAAGTTTTTATTAAACGTGTTAACGTGACAAGAGTAATACATTGCAACTAGAAATATTGTGATGTGTTTAAATAGTAGTAACAGGGCGTACCTATCAAACTTCTTTTCAATTTTCAAAAACATATACCTAACAAGTTTTATATAAAAATGCAAAGGCATAACTTAAAACTGCAGAGTTGAATTTTCTCAGCTTCAATTTTTATACACATACACTTTTGATTGTATATTCTTACCTCAACGAAAGATGCGCGTTTTGGAATCTGACTAGCTTGCTCAATCCCTTCTGCCAGTTTTTCAACGGACGGAGAAGCAAGATGACTCCGACTCCCACTAAGCGATTGTCTGCTGCCTCCTAACGACTGTCTGCTTCCTGTTAAAGACTGACGGCTACTAGCAAGCGACATTCGTGAACTATTACACAAAAAAGCTATTAGGGCGAGGACAACTACTATTTACAACTTCATTTCCTCTTAAGAGATACTGAATTGCTAACTGCAGATATCTAAATATGACTAACGGTATGATTCGATACAATAATTTTTTCTTAACACACGTTTTGCTAATAACAAAAAAATATTTGCGACACTCACGAAAATTTTTAGAAAATAATAGATTTAATTAAACTGACATTTCACAATCTAGAGACAGTGAAGTGAAGTTACATTAAACAAAAGGATTTTTGAAAATAGTTTCTGGAAGTAATGAATAGTGACCGTTGATTGATATCGAATTATACAATAATTAATAATATCAGTAATATTTAAATTTTTTTTTAATGGAAATGTAAAATAAATAAATTGGTTGCATAGAGAAGGTGTATAAAGCTCTAATAAAGCGGTGGTCAATATGGTTAATACACATACCGCATTTTATAGGTTATTTACACATTTTGAAGTATGTACAAGAAAAAATAAACAGATTCCTGTTACAAGATCCACAAAGGTTTATAATGAAGTACTAATATATCTTGAATTTAAAAACAAAATGCAAATATAATACCACTATCCCTTAACAATAAGTAAATCCAGTACGAAAATATTTATTTTTGCATTTTTTTAACCCAGTATCCCAAGATTAATGTAACAAATATTTACACCATACTGAAGCTATAAACTTGTTAGATGACTTAACAAACAAGCTAAGTAAATCAGATCTTCATAACTGTACCTTGAAGCAGATAGAGAAGGTGGTCGTTTTTGTGGTGAAATCTTTCGACGAACGCTAATGAAGCAGCACAAAAATGATTGGATGATTAATTTATGTTGAACAAAAATTTAAATAAATATAATACATTTTGTGCTTGATTATTGGGGATGGGTGCACATTACAATACATAATTACTTACGTAGTAGGTCTCGGTTTTACTCCTGGCCTACTAGGCAAAAAATAACATGTTCAAAATTCATTAGTAAAATTTGGTTATCAAAAAAGACAAAAAATTAATCTAAACGTACTTGCTTTGACGGCTTCTAGCAATTTTTGATGGCGGAAGTGAATCTTCACTTAGCATTTCTATAGGTTTACCGTTCTCATCAAGTGGAACAACTTGCGTTTCTCTAACAAATACTCCGTGGTTGTCCTCGCACTAAGTGCAAATACATTCATCAAAATATTGCACCTTTAACAGAATTTTATATAAAAACCTTAAAGTACTCATGACCTCGAAGTGATCCATTATTTTTTCCTTTAGGCTCATCTAATACAACACCTATCCATGTTCCTGGTGCAAAATTGGTTTTACCCACGAAAGCTATAACACCTTGAACCCCCTTTGCCGTTACATCAACCCTTCTTCCAACTTTAAGTAAATCGGACATAATTTCTAATATTTTATCAATCTAAGCAGTCATGTATAGAGTATAACTACTTAGAATAGTTCAATAGTTGGAAACTGATATTATAGAGAAAAAAAATTATTTTTGGACACCGGGCGTACAAACCACTGACACTACAAAGACTGACACTGACAGGTCATCTACTGACAACTGACATTTGGTTGACAGAATGACAGGTATTTGACACAATCATCAGCATGGAGTCATAAAGTATTTAATCTATGCATGGAGTGGAGACTACACAAGGAGCCCGAATCAGAGTAGATAAAACAATCCGAACTCCATGTAAACAAATATCTTGCCAAATTAAAAGGGCGCTAGTTAGTAGGGGTTTACGATAATTGTATCGGAGTGCTCGGAACAAGAAAATGCCTTACGAATATTCACTCTGATGATTCGATCCCATTACGAAAATGCAACCTCAATGCTCAGATATAGAAAATCTGAGCGCTCTAGTCGCCCTTGCTTATTTGTCAGATTAAAGAATGATCTGAAATTTGCGCATGCGTGTTGTTTACAGGTATAATAAAAAAAAATTAAAAACAGATGTTTCGTTAAGTTACAAAGAAAGATTGTTTTGTTGACTGTTGAATGAAACATGAACTTTGTTTTGTTCTCTTCAGTTGTCTTGTGTAGAAAAAAAATTAAAAATGGCAATATGTTAAATAACAATTTAGATATGGTAGATGTAGATGAACATTATTATTATTGTAGTCGTACATCATACAGGTACCACTTTTCACATTTATTTGTAGAATTATTGCATGTAGATAGTGATAGAGGTTAGATTAGATCGGTTTCGACTAGGTGCTTACGAAAATAGCCAATTTAAAAGAGCACTCTGACCAGAGTAAGCAGCGCTCGGATCAGTTGGTCAGATATATTTTTCGTAAACCCCTAGTATCTCATATGTACCGGTTAGAAAGGGGATAAAAAAGCGGCAGTTTGAATTAAAAATCAATCATGTCACGTTTGCGATATGTTAAAAATTTTAAAATACATAATGTAAGCTACTTTGAGTTATATAAATAATGAAAATGTCATTCCAAACTGTAATAAAAAATTAAACTAAATAGATAATAAAAAATATTAGCTTTATGAGAAAAATTTGGTGTTCATAGAAAGAAACATTACACACCAACATAACTTTTCTTTTATTAGATTATACAGGATGCTCACTTTCTAGTATAATTTCATTGTAACTTAATTGCTCGATTTACTTGCTGTTCTTGTTGTTGTAACTGCTGCTCTTCTAGCTGCTGAACCTGTTGTTGCTGGTGTAGTGGATGCTCTTGTTGCTGCTGCAAGATATACATAAAGAAACAATGCATCATTCAATTATACAATAGTTTCACTTATGATATCTTTCTATTTAAAAATTTATTTACCTTATTGAGAATCAATGGAGCTGCTTCCAACTTCTGAGTTATATTCGACCTTTTGCCATAATAATTAACCCACTGTCCGGTAAAGTTGTAATATAGAACTGCTGGACATCATTAGACTGAAAATGCAGATCACAAACGTCCCAGTAGGGGGAGAAAAGCCCCATAACTGGGAATGAAATGATAGTCAAACGGATCAAGGTGTAGAAATAATGGAAAGTTCAGCAAATATAAAACTTTGTACTGAAGAAAGAAAAAAATTCAATTATTCATACACAGATGCAAGTCCATATGAAGTTCATGTTCAGCACAAAAACGGGTATAACGTAGGTAACTACAACCACTTAGCAATAGCAAAAGAGCTTTTTAATCTTAATTTAGAGGGTATAAGTAAAATTAAGAAAAAGGGGAAAAACAGAATCAGTGTAGAATTTAAAAACTTTAACATAGCAAATAATTTTCTAAATAACGAGATATTAATCAACAAAGGGTACGAACTATTTATCCCAATTAATAATGTAGCATGCAGGGGTGTAGTCAGATATGTAGACAAAAGTATCACAGACGAGGAATTAAAGATCTATAGTAAGTGCAAAAATCCAAATGTAAAAATACTAAACGCGAAGAGACTGAACAGAAAAGTAACAGAGAACAATGTGACAAATTATATTCCCACGGGAACTGTTTGCTTTACTTTTTCGGGGAAAAACCTACCTAAAGAGGTAGCCGTCTATAATTTAAATATGAAAATTGAACCTCTGTAATCCAATGCTATAACTCTTTAAGGTATGGTCACACCAAAATGCAGTGTAAAGGAAAAAGCAGATGCAACAGATGTGGAAGAGGACATGAGGAGGAGGGAGACTGCCAGTTCCCAATCAAATGCGTACATTGTAGGAGTGCAGAACATTTGGCAAGCGACAGAACATGCCCAGAATTCTATAGGCAAAAACAAATTAAAGAAACTATGGCTCTGGAAAACTTATCATATTATGACGCCCAAAGGAAATTCTCAAAACCCAACGAGAGTAGCCAACCTTCCTACTCGTATTTACTGATGGAATTTCCTCCTCTGCCGACCCCTTCCAGGGTGCACTCCAATAAAAAATAAACCAAGTCATGGGAATATACAAAGAAGTTCCATCTCCCCCGTTCCATGCTTTGACAACAAAAGCAGGTCAGAACAGTACAAGAAGAGCCAATGGCATATGACAAAGACTTGCATAATGATTGCCTTAATTCTCCTAATGGGAGAAGCACGAGCACATACTTAATCCCGGATACTCCATCCACTTCCAGAAATACAGACACAGGTAACTATCAGTCAGAGCGTGAAATCATTGCCGTACTAACTGAAATAATTAGAAAATAGGGATGTAGTCCTTAAGTTTTTAGCAACAATTACAAATAACAATTCAGATAATGTCCAGTTGTCCAATAGTAAGCATACCTAACGTGTGTTCACTGTCAATATTACAGTGGAACATGCGTAGCATGAGCACCAATCGGAACAATCTAGTGTTGATCATCAAACAATTTAACCGAGATATAATTGTGCTTAATGAAACATGGCTAAGTATGGCAGACAATTTTATTCTTCCTCCATATGATGTATATAGAAACGACAGACAAGACGGATTTGGGGGTGTTGCATTATTGATAAAAAACAGTACAAAATTTTCCATCATAGACCTTGACACGACACATGTATCGACAGACACACAGGTACAAGGGGTTTACATCCCGGAATGTAACATCTCACTAGTAAACATATACAATCTGCGTATTATTCTGGGTGACCTAAACGGGCACCACCCTATGTGGGGAAGCGCAGACCAAAATTTCAATGGCAAAACAATAGCGAACTCACTAGACATCGTACAGATCTGTGTTTAACGATGGATCACCAACGCGGTTGATGCCGCCGAATCAAAAAAAGTCAGCAGTTGACATAACCCTTGTCTCCTTAGACATAGCACTGAAATGTGCATGGGAGGTGATAAATGACTGTGGAATGAGCCACCACTTTGCTATAATCTGCCACTTAAATCTCGATAAAAGGCATAGAATACTGCCCAAACGAAGACTTGAAAAAAAAGCAAATTGGAAGCAATTCCAAACAAACATAGAGGAAAAAATTGGTAGTACTAAAGATTTAAACTATGAATCTTTTGTAGAAATCATCAATGATGCTGCAGAAATCAGTATCCCAAGGTCAAAGGACAATCAAGTCAAATAGCCCGCCAGCTCCATGGTGGGATGACGAATGTGCACGGACCCTGGAAGACAGGAAAATAAATCTTTCCACTTATCGAATGGATCCGAGTCTACAAAATTACCTAATGGTAAAAAATCTATCTAACAGCTTCAGGAAGTACTGCTTTGAACTAAATAGGAACACACCAATGAAAAAAATTTGGCATAGTAAGTAAATTTTCCAAAATACAATCTCCACAAATTCAAAACAGGCTACCAGAACGAAATAGCCATACAAATACTAGAATCAGTGAGTGCAGTGCATATAAATCCTGACTTCAGATTCAGACAAGGAACCAACAAACCCCCGGTTCTATATGTAAACTAATGGCAGCCATGCGAAAAAGAAAAAAAAAATTCGACTCCAGGCATTGATCAAATAACATATACGATGATAAACAATTTACCAATTGCAGGAAATAGATTCCTATTAAATCTGTATAATGAGGTCTTGTTCGGAACTAAACAACCTGTGCAATGGAAATGTATTTTAGTAAACCCTCTGTTAAAAGTCAGGATAGACTCAAATCAGCCAGAAAACTATCGCCCCATAGTTTTGAGCTCTTGCATGGGCAAGATTTTAGAGAGTATGATCAAAAATAGGCTTGAATGGTACATTGAAAACAAAGCATTACTTCCACCATCGCAATTCGGGTTCAAAAGACGTAAAGGATGCATAGAATGTGTTGCATATTTAACTTCGTATGCACAAATAGGCTGCAGTAGAGACGAGGTTACATTACCTGTATTTCTGGACATTCACACTGCCTACGATAAACATATATAAATTGTATGAGAAACGGCTAGACTCGGGCTTTTCTTACAAACTTGATATTTCAGTTTCTGCACAACAAACAAATACATCTTAAAGACAATGAAGGACAGATACTTGGTCTGAGATTAAACAATAGAGGATTATGTCAAGGATCCCCGCTAAGCCCAATACACTTTAACATATACACGTCTGATTTGGTTAACAACATCCCTGAACAGTTTCGACTGGTGCAGTATGCCGATGATATAGTAATATTGACCAAAGGTACCTCCGGGATAAACCTAACAAATAAAATTAATATTGTCTTGGCGAATGTAAACGAATGGTTAGGGAGACACGACTTGACTCTGTCCAACACCAAATCCTCGGCAATCATGTTCAGGCAAAAAAATCCAGGCACTGGTACCCCTCAATATCCATCAACAATCACCTGATCCCCTGAAAGACTCCAGTAAAATATCTAGGAATCAAAATAACACAGTCCCTAAATTGGAATGAGCAAATAGAACATGTCAAAACAAAAGCCCTAAAAGGAATCAACACAATGAAATCACTTTGTGGTACATGGTGGGGAGCAGACCCATCAACATTGCCACTAATGTATAAAGGAATTGTACGTTCACATCTTGGTTCTGGTTCACAGTTGATGAATCCCTGTCCGAAACAAGTTCTTGCCAAATTGGATAAAATACAATATCAAGCACTTAAGAATTGTGACGGGATGCATGAGGTCCACCCCAACCCACAAAATATATAATAGAAGAAAACGGAGCACCTAAGAAAAAGAGAGAAACAGAACCGTAGCGAAACTACCGGCCGTCAGGGTGAACTAAAAAGGCCTTCGATGGCAGGCCGGCCTTGATGATAAATGACGGGGTCATTTCGCTTTTATTATACAGGGTGGCTTGTAATAAAGGATTGCAAGTAATATTTCTGTCACAAATAACCGAAATAATTTTTAAAGTAAAAATATTGATATTAAATATGAGTTCATAAATTCAGTTATAATACCAACAAAACATTTGAAAAATGCTGATATTAACAATGAATTTAATAAATTCATATTCACAATTTTGTTTACTTTAAATTACATCAATTATTGGCGTCAGAAATACTACCTGCTGAGATAGGTAAAATTACTAGGTATTATTGAAAATATATTTAAATGTAACGATTTTTAATGAAAAGTTATAGAAAAA